GTTTCTCAAAATCAGCATATACCATTTTTTCAAACGGTTTTTGGGATGTTGCAGAAAGCTTTCAAACGGTTTAATTGTCAGTTTCTACAAATGATTCTGAGCGAATTTTAAAATCATTAGTTAGTGCCTTACTGGTACAAAAACTTCCAACAAACGGCTACATCTTCAGACGATATGCTGATTATAGAAATAGAAACATTTGTTGCATGCATTAATATCCAAGCTCATTCGGATATACGCCTTAGATATTATTTTTTTGTTGTCGGCCAATGAGCTAGGATACAAACCATTCCCACAAGAGAAAATATAAATAAATTAACCATATTTATTAGATAGGCTAAATGTCAAGAATGAAATCATGGGGGTGGAGAGAAAAGAAGAGAAGTTGTTTTTTGAGATACAACGGAAAATATACCCAAAATGTGCTTGTCTATTTTGGAAAAAACAAAATTAACATGGGGTCAAATTAAGAAATCGCAACTTGAGATATTAAAACATGCATGTGCTTGCTTCTTCTCCGAGGTACTAATCTTGGGATGAGAACTAAGTAAGTTTGGCTGTGCTTATCTCTATGATTCTTTCAATAAGCTTTTCCAGAGCCATGTGGTCTTTGCAGAACCGACCAGTGAGTCTGGAGAATGTGGAGGATGTTAGATTTGTGATAGGAAACGAAGAACACTAAATTGTTTTCAGAAGAAAAAAAGAACATTAAAATAGAAAGTAAGAATTGATGAATGATCTGAATATTATTGATAAATCGTTAGCTCTAAGAGCTTACATACTTAAAGCTTAAATCCATGAGGGCTTTTACCATTGAACATGCTCTTAGCAGATGTTCTCCGGTTCTCCAAGAGTTTAATAATATAAGGAGGTCATTCAGAGCCGGGCCCTAAGTTTTCGAGGACGAGAAAAAAAATGCCGTTTAATATTTTTAGATAAATAAAGTTTGATCTCATTTTCTAAATCACTTAGTTTTAGAAGTTTTCATTTTTCTTTTGACATACGATAACATCGTATTAACTTGAAATTTTTATCAAGCTTCTTGTATTTTCTTCGTACTGCTGATCTCTCTTTTTATGCGATTCGAAGTCATCTTATATTGTTAGATAGATGAGTGACTATACAAAAATAAACAAATATGTTGTAACGGCGAGAAGATAAAGTAAGGAAAAAATATTTGTTTTCTTGGTATTGCTAAAATCTCAGCATAGAAATCATGTGGTAGAGAGAAAAGAACATAGCATGGGGTCAAAATTTAGAAATCTCAACTTGAAAAACTTGCTTCTTCTCCAAGGTACCAATCTTGGGAGGAGAATTAGGGCAATTTTGGCTGCTTATCTATGATTCTTTCAATAAGCTTTTCCAGAGCCATGTTGTCTTTGCAGAAGTGACCAATGAGTCTGGAGAACTTGGAGCATGTGCCGGAAGAACGTTGTATCCTTTCGATTCCAGATCGGTTTGATTAGGAGAGAGAAGTTCGTCACGGGAGATGAACATTATATTAGCTGGAGCTGGATTATCATGTGGCCAACACAATATTCGATGGAAAATACGTAACCGAGTCTTTCCTGTTTAAAAACATAAAACAGTTGAATCTGAACATGAGTGTCTTTACTTGTAGTATAGTATACTTATACATTTCAGAGAAAAGGATAAGAAGAAGTTTAACTGGCGTTCATATGGATGTGATTAAGAACAATTCCAGTGGAAGAGAGAGCTTTCTTGACAGAAGGAGGGATGTGATTCATGTTGCCATAGGCAGAGATGGAGATTGGACCACGGTAGTTCAACTTACTCAGTGCCGAGCTTATTTTAACAACAATCTCCTCAGGTTTGCAACCTTTGGGAACCGGGCAATTCTCTATGTCCCAACAAACCCTCGTCGCAGCCTCCACGAATCTAGCCTCTGCCACGGTGTTTTTCATCATCTCCTTCGTTCGTGTTAATCAAGAATTTAAACCTACAAAGAAAATCAATCACAAGCGAATATATAAAAAGAAAGAATCTTCTATAAAATATAAGATTCAGTCGTATCTTATTCTATTGAACGAACATATATTACGCAGAGAAACAAAAAGTTCACCTTCCCAAACCAAAACAGTACATGATGGAGAACATACCTGAGTCCTCGATGTGGAACGATTTAGGGTTTTTTGATAAATGCACCGCCACATGTTTATTTTTTCATTTTGTTAGTGTTATGTTCCGGTGACTCGAGGGTCAAGCCAAGCCCAGCACGGCCCTTTTTAAAAATATTGGGCTACTCTAATTAGACCCATTCGTGGATCCAATCCAATCGTTTTCTTTTAATTTGAATATGTTGTTGATAAAAAAAAAAAAAACCAATAATTGAATCGACAAGTCCGAAATTAAAATATTAATTCCTACAAAATTATATTGGCGTAGCTTAAGCTAGGATATATAGAAGGATTCGTTGATCTAAAAGGATAACCTAAAAGCTAATCAATTTGCGATCTGATTCCTCAAAGGAATACAGAAAACAATGAAACAAAGCACCTTTATTAAATCCTCTGACAAGCTTGAAAACAATGAGAAGGACGTATCTAAAATAAGCTTGAAAATTTAAAAGATTTTTGCT